AAAAAAAGCCTATTTTGCAAACATGATGGAAGGGCTTGTATCGACGGAGTTGACGTGAAACACTCTCACTTAATGTAACTGGCTTTCTCGCCCTTCTTGTCCAGTTTTGCTTCAATAGAATCGTTAGAATCTGCAGCTGCGTTGGCCTTCAGAAAATCGTATAAGCAAGGATCCAAATTCGAAAACAGGGAGCTAACCTCTTCTTCATCATCGGTATAGTCCTCATTGTTATCTGGGGCTTTCTCTTTGAGCTTCAGAAAATTTTTATGTGTGAAAGATTGCGATATGAGTGCAACTGTGCCCACCTCTGATTCTTGTGCAGATGTTAGTGCTGCGTCAGCTGTTGTAGTGATGGATCCTGCAGAAGATGTCTCTTCCGCATCCTCTTCATCACTTCGATCTAAACCAAACTGATAAATAGAAACGAATTTTCTACAAGGAACTAAATGTGTTAAGTGGTGAGCACTGTGACAAATGGCAAAAAAGCTCTTTCGTCTATTTGCTATATATCTTACTTTCAAATTCTGGTGTAGTAGTGTTTCCAGCAGCTTCGGTAATAGGTAGCTGTTCGGAAGGTGCGAACTGCTCTCTCCCACTACCTGATGACTCAAGAATCTTTGCCTCTATCTCCTTTATATCCTCACTGTTGAGCTCCTCTTTAGGCATTACTGTTGTGAGTGGTGCATCGTCTAAACTTTAGTGCTGTGCAGTAGTTCTCAAGGATAAGTATGTGCTTCGCAAAAAGCTTCAGTGACCAAGGTACACACAGGGGGTGCAAACAGAAAAACCACTCTGTTGCGCTAACCTTTCTCGACTGTGTCAGCTTCTTCGGCCTTTTCGGCGGAACTCATTGCTGCAAACGCAGTTGTGGTGTCTGAAATAGACCGAAACGGTAGAAATAGCAGAACATCCGATTGCTTCCTCTACCTCGAGACTGGAGCTTAGTCATGCATCCATTTTGGAAGTACACCACTTTTTCGTTCTCTTCCTTGGCGAAAGAACTAGGCTTTGACAATGCAGATTCAGTGTTTGTGATGCATTCTCCTTCCTCGTAGAAGTACATAGCGGACTGAAGACGAGAGATTAGAGGTCTAGAAATTCTGCAATTGTTTTGACAGACAAATCCACGGACATGACGGACTGTTTGGCTTTTGTAAGCTTTCTTTTTTGGTAGCTTTGCTAGACAACTTCGAGTTCTGCGGACATTTCAATGAAGCAAGATGGTTAAAAGCACTTGCACCCAGCTAACGCAGCCACGCTCAAAGGTGCGAAGTTATCAATGTCATACTCAACGTTGCGTTTCAAATTTTTTTAAAAATTATTTCATGAGACGCATCGCCCTTCTTTTGTTGTGAAAATGCCAGTAGAAACGAAGCGGTGCATAAGCCATCGGCACAATTTTCATAAAATCAAGTGGTTCATGTGCCTCATGTTCTGAGCGATATTCAGCACAACCAAGTTCAACAATCAGAAACATTTCTGATTGAAAAAAGCTTAGAATCTGAAAGAATGAGTCAAATTTAGATTCAAAACTTTCTCGATTTTTCAAATTATATTTCAGCATTTTTGATTGAACGTCCGCTGTTTTTTTTTACTTGAGCAACATTATTTGATTGAAGTCGCTTTTCATTGTGAACTCGTTCTCAACAAATTCTGCGACTATTGAGAATGTACACAGTATTCTCCTAAACAGTTAATATCTGGTTGACATTCGTTAGATAACTTTGCATCTTTGGCCATGGTTGTGTCAACTGGGTGGGAGGTGGTGCAGAAGGATCCAAAGACCTTGCCGCATGTAATCGCAGGTACTA